TTGTGATGGCCTCCCACCTAATTGTGATGGTCTCCAACCTAATTGCGATCGCCTCCAACCTATATAATAGCGATGGTCTCCAACCTAGTAGAAGTGAAGCACTAATTACCAAAGCTTTGTATATATATATATAATAGATTAAATAGACCGGGGTATGCTTAACACCCCCCCAGGTTTGGGGCCACGACCCTTGGCATCACCCAAGGCACGGATTGAGGATAGCAAGCGCCCGCCCCCAATAAGTCGCACGGACAGTGGCTTGCTGTGTGGCACGGACCCTGCCGCACCAAGATTTTGAAGCCACGGATCAGGGCACAAAACCATGGAAAGTGCGGCACGGATCAACGGCACAAACCATGTAAATGCACCCGAACCCATCTATAGCCGTGCTTGCACGCATGCCACTTGCCGTGCCGTGGATGTGTCCAAACCCGTCTAGCCGTGCCTGCGCGCACGCCACCCGCCGCGCCGCTGGTTTATTCGAACTGATCTAACCGTGCCTGCGTACCCGCTACCTGCCGTGCCACAGATAACTTTAACCGACTTAGCGGGGCCAGTGCACTTGACCCCCGCCGTGCCACACCTTTTTGTAGACCCAACTAGCCGCGCCAGCGCACACGCCACCCGCCGTGCCCGACATTTATGGCCGAAAGTAGTCAAAAAATGCCAAAAACAAATCGGGGAACTTAAGCATACCCTGGTCATCTGAATATATAGACTGTTGGATAAGTATTACAAGCACACAGTTCCCACAAGCCCGAAGTGTGGTTTTCCCTGATTCTGCAATGTCGGACCTTCTGGGCATGTTTAGCCTCACCACAGCCAAACTGATTTGGGGAAGGAAGTCACCTGTTTTCACCAGTTTTGAATCACCATGGCCATGCTTACTCCAGGTAGTGCTCTGAAGTCATTTGTCCTTCAGAAACAAGAAACCTTAAATATGCATTTAAAAAGAATGTGGGGCATTTAGGGAGAATTTGAGTTTAAACATTAGTTCTTAAATGTTGGTTATTATCTTACATGAACAGTGTCGCGCGAGTTGCAGGAATCCACAGATCCCACGTTGCAGGGATAACAAAGTTCAACAGTATATCGAGAAACAGATCCTGTAAGGCCACGCATCTTCCAAACATTTCCAGACGACTTACAAACGACCAGATGACTTAAAACCGGTACCCAGTACCGGAATTGTTTGGCATATCAGTGACAACTCCGCGCGTCGCAAGGTAGCTGAGACTGCTGACTTCTTGATAGCTTCCCAGCCCACAAAAGCAGGGTCTTCTCGAGTGAGGTCCTGCCACAGCCACAGCTGCCGAACCACAGATCTCCTGCTTGAACTCGCCGTATGTTTTTGGAGACTATGGATATGAATGAATATGGTACGTATGACTACAATCGGGAGGTGTTCAAATAAATTTGAGGGCGTTGGATTTCAGGAAACTCCATCCAGTCGAGAGCACTGGAGTTCTTTTCTGGCCTGTGTTGAAGCTCATAAAAACGAAACCATCGATAATTGAACAGGATATCTGCAAGTCCACCAATATATGTTCTTTTTGCCTAGAATTGCAGTGAGGAGTGCCTAAACTCTGAAGCCCAGAGTGACCCTGTCCTCGTAAACTGCATCCTCACTGAATTGTGACATGATCTTCTCAACTGGATCTACCTGCGCAGCAAGCTCCTTCAGAAAAAGTAGAAGGACACCAAATAAATGATGCCCGTTTTACAGCAAGGGCTTTAGATATTGTCACATGTTGAATTGATGGCTGTATGTGAATGATCAACTGTGGAGAAAGGTCTCCGCATAAGATTAGGGCACCAATCTTAGTAACAAGAAGCTACTAGTAGCAAGGGCATCGCTACTAGTAACAAAGGGCATCGCTACTAGTAGCTCCTAGTTACTAGTAGCTTCTTGCTCCTAGTAGCGATGCCCTTTGTTACTAGTAGCGATGCCCTTGCTCCTAGTAGCTTCTTGTTATGATTGGCGCCCTAATCCTATGCTATCCAAAGTCGAAAGAGCCTGCAAGCATCTCACCAGCGAAAAGTCCGTGGATCAGTGCACAACAACTTGAGGGTGTAGTAGACACAAGCACCTCCTATTAATACAGTAGGGTGTCCAGGTCTATGCGGAGGGGTTGAAAATGAGATTGATTGTATACTGTATGCTCATGACTAAATCTAGCAGCCCTGGAATTCTACAAGCCGCCGGCACCCCTTTTCACTCATAATGCAGCTTTGCTGCTCTAGCCTACTGCGAATTTTGCGCAGCACATTTGTACAATGCCTGATCGGCTAAACATTCATTAACTTCGCAGATATGGACGATGGAAACACGTAGAAACTCTTCGAACTGCGAACAGAAACGACTCTGTAGACCTTGAAGCATTTGCTTCTAACAGCACAAACTACCTTAAGGCTTAAGATATTTCCGTCCAATTCTGCAGATGTCAGGGACGTCACATCTCCAAATCGGGTGCAACGCCGTCAGCTCCGAAGAAGTCGCCCCCAAGGACGTCCTGCGTTCGAGTCCAGAGTCCAAAGGTTTGAGTGAAGCATCCGGCATGTTTTTGCTTCAACCACGCGCGGCATGCATGAGACATCATGCAACTATGGCATGGATGTGTATGATCCAAGCATGTGGAACCAACAGGCTTGGAAGCTCTAAATATATACTTCTCCTGAAGGGAAACCTCTTCTTTGCCCAGCCTGTCTCGGCAAGGCTGCAACAAACCATTGCATTTTGCAGTTGTCATTGGCCACGGTCTACAAGGCTTGCACCTCTCTTTCTGTTCTCGAGCCAGCTGTCTCCTCACCACTGCTGGAATCCAATCTCACACCATTTATGTAGTAGTAGTAGTAGTAGTAGTAGTAGTAGTAGTAGGAATCAATTCAACGAGCTATAACGAGCTAGACCATGTCAACAAAAAGTCTCAAGAGGCATACAGCACCCGGAGAAGAACTACAACGGCTGTGTGCGATTGATCTTGTCCAGTCTAGCATCATGGCATTCATGTTGACCTGAACAGCATTCAAATGCATTCAACATATTCAACTTCAACCAAATCGGGGTGACTGGGGACGACCTGAAGCCTTTGTCCCTCCACCTACGACGCGACGCTCTTCGCACGGTCTCCTGGCGCGACGCTCTTCGCGCGCTGCTCGCGTCGCTTCGCGTTGAGCCAACTTGGCCTGAGGCGAAGGGTCAAAGGGTCCCTGAACAAGATGTAGCTTCAGGAAGTGACTGGCTAGTAGCAGCTAGCAACAAGAACGCAGGGCGTTCTTGAAGCGACCTGAGGCTTCCTACTTTAGATTTGTTCATTAGCTCCTAGTAGATCCGGGTAGATCTCTCACCTCATGATCTTTTCGCATCCCAGCTTCAACAGGAAGATAGTCCAGCCTGGTATCAATTGAGGCTGAGCAACTTGCAACTTCTTCAGACAGCAGATCTCTAGGTCATTCAAGCTTGGAATGCAATTGACATCCTGAGACAAGGGCTCCTTTCTATTCTTGATGGGCCTCAGCAAAAGCCATAAAGAAAAAGACAATGCAAAAAGCAACAAGAAAAGGAACTGATGTTAAGTGTCCCTAAAAATCTAGGAACCAAATCATCAGTGCGAGCGCTTCTTCAAGGAAGCTCCC